GTATACCTTTGCAGTCCCTTCAATTCTACTTCTGTGAAAACTTTATTTTGTGTTATAAATCGACATCGATCTGCTAGCCTCTGTTCTGTTATTTCTGATTCTGGATATTGTTCTTTCCAGAACTGGTGCATTCTTTTCAGATAACCTCTTCTCATTGGAATTGATTTGTAATAGCAGATCATTATTTCTTTGTTTTCAGTCTTTGTATATTTGCAACAGATAAACAACTTTTCTTCCAGTAGTCCTACAGTTGCTGGCCCTGGTTGCTCAGCCAACAGTCCTGTAGCCCACTTGTCACCAGATGTCCAGGAACCAGAACACCTAGTATTGTCCTTGTTGACTCGGGCAACGACCAATCCAGTATGGGTTTCTGCAAATTACATCTCACCATATAGTTTATGGGACAGACATTCTTTGTCTGGCTCTTCTGATGAGATCTGTCCAGTATGGTTGAACCTCTGGCATAGCTCTCAACCTCTTTGGAGCACACAAGCCCCACAACCACATGAAGGTAGTGCCTCACTGGAGGTTGTTGTTATTATTATTATTAATATTCTCAATGTAATCATGAGATAAATGAGTTGGGGAGCACCTTCTAGGTCATTTGGTAAAAAACTTCCAAACCAGGTGGCCAGCCAGGTCCTTTCTGTTAACCTCCAACCAAAAGAGGCTGTTCTAGCTAGAATGAGGCAAGACTGTCCTGTTCTTCCCTCATCCTAGGTTTACTCTAGACAGACAGGGTGGGATAGGTATGTGAGTTATCCCAATCTGTTCTGTACTAGTGTGTTTCCTTTGGATAGGAGAATCTTTCTTATTGTCTCTTGTTTATCCCCTGTCCTTCATTTCCATTGGATGACAGAGGTTTTCATTAGTAGGAGACTTGGAGGAAAACTTGATTTTATCTTCTACTTCGGTTATTTTTCTGTATTTATTCCAAATCTATTCCACTTTTCCTAAGTAGGGTTCCCTCCCTATATACACTGGGGCCCTTTTGGCCACTTCCTATGGTTCAGTTAACCTGGAAGCTGTAATTGAATTTCCATGGTGCTCAGAGTAACAAAAGCACTCACTGGATTGACTTTCCAAATTCCCTTCAACATCTGTTCCATCCATACTTTTGAGATGGTGAATAAATCCTAAAATCTATCAAGACATACTGTTAAGCAAATGAGGTATAGGAGTTGCCTTAGAGGAAATAAACCAGGTAATTGTTCATGTGTCATTTCAAATCTTGAAAC